AGTTAATTTATAGTGTTGATCTTTGCTACAGTCATTTGCTGCCTTATTTGGGAATCACTGGTGTTCACTTTCATTTTCAGGTCCTGACACTCTTGATATAAACTGTGTCTAGTAATTTAAATGTGAGCATGAATTCACATGTAAACTCCTTGTCAGGGGCGTCAGGACTGTGAGGATTTGTCAGAGTTGTCAGGACTTGTTGGTGGTGTCAGTGTAGGATTGTGGGTAGGTTTACAGGGCTCAAAATAACTGCTGGTTAAAGGACAATCTCCTTCCAAATTCCCTAGATGACCGGCCAAATCGGGTTATGAAAGGACATATTGACCTGACACATTTTTAGACAAAAAAAAACAACAAACAATCAATTCTAAATTCGCTATAAATTAAATCTTTTACAAGCCATTAAAATGCTTGCCGATCTTTCTGAATACAAAAACCTATGAATTAAAAGAAAACAATAGTATATTAAAGTAAAACTCGTCGACATGACTAGACCTTCCAAAAATGAATTTGGAAGGACATCTTGTCCTGCATATGTCTGGCTGTTATTTCAAGCCCTGGTTTCAGGGTTAGTTTGGTCTTTTGTAACAGTTGTGTAAAAAGATAAATTTAACACCATACAAAAATAGGTGAAATAACTTACTGACCTTTCGGACATATTTATTCCTTTGTCGGAGTAAAGAGTTCTTTGGTAACCTTTTAATAACAATAAGCATGATAAATGCAATTCAATTCAAAAGTAAAGGTGTGTTTAGGTTTTGTTCCTGAAGAATGGCAACATCTTTGACACAGGGCAAAAAGCTCATCTAGTAGTTTGTTAATAACATGAAATACCTTTATTAATAGAAAAAAATTAGTACGTACATGTAGGTAATACCACAAATACTTTTCATTGAGTGCATGAAATTATTCTTCAGGAATAGTAATGGATTATGAAGACAGTGACCAAGATTCAGGGCCATTAGAAAAAGATTTCCATTGTGGATGTTGTTATGAATTAATGGTTGATCCTACAACCTTAAACTGTGGACACAGCTTTTGCCGTTTCTGCTTAGCACAATGGTGGCATTCCTCAAAAAAGACAACTTGTCCTGAATGCCGTCAGTCATGGCTTGGATTCCCAAAGATTAACATTATTTTAAGGTGAGTTACAGTGTTTGATTAGTCAGCGTTTYTATAATGAATAAATTCACAAATGACAAATTAGCTGTATGGATTCTTTTTAATTCAACTTCACTCTCACTTGGAAGACTTGTTTAATKTTGTTTGCTTCTTCTTTTCTTCATCAAGAAAAACAATCAAGAAAATGTTTCCCGAGGCATTAGAAATGAGGCTTGAAACCGTGGAATCAATGGCAAATTACAAAAAAGTTGTTGATAAGTTTGAAGCTTTTGGAAAAAAGCGTTTAACTCAAAAGATTGGTAACCAGGGGCAACCAGCTAATAGATGGATAGTAATTACCAAAAGTGTTGCTATAGTAACAGCCATTATTGGGATATTCATGGTAAGATAGGGAAAAGAGGACTTAAGCAATTGGTATTGGGTTTGTCATTCTTGTAATCATTGTTTTCTTTCTTCAGTTCTTCTATGACTTATTTGGGGTCATGTTTTCTTGGGACCAAGCACTTGTYCACAAACCTTTAGAGGCTTGGACACCTAAAGATGTATCTACATGGGTGGCAAGTCTGGGTCCATGGTCAAGAGCAATAAACTCTGGAAAGTTTGAAGAATTGGGGATAAATGGAAATATCCTGAAATCAATGACAGATACTGGCTTGGAAGATCTTCTTAAAATAGAGAAGTCATACTTGCGGCAATCCCTGTTAAGTGAAATTGAACATATTAAACTTCTTGGATTTAAAGCACCCACAGAGTTTTGGGAATACAAGGTATGTTTGGATTTCTACAATAATGTTTTCATGCATTCAGAGGTATTTATTTTTATTAGTATCCAACAAACTATAAACATTGGATTGTGGAACAATCTTGATAAACCATTTTTTGAAGCTTAGGAAAGAAAAAAAGTTAAAAAAGTTGTTTTTCTTGTTTTCATATTTACAGTGCGGC